TTTTGGCTGTTTGGCCATGGGCTGCGGGTCCGCTGCAGACTGCGCTTGGAACCAGCTATCTAGCTCCTTCTCTGCCTCCCTGATGTTACGCAGCCTTCTCACCGCCTCCTGCAGCTCAGCCACCTGCTGCAGGAGGTCATCCACCGGGGCACACCTATAAACATGGTTATCAAGACCACTGTTGCCGTCATTTTCCTATAAAGATGAAATGTGTAAGTGCTATTTCGTCTTATAGACATATAGAAATTAGAAATTACCATGTCTTACGTAGAAATTAAAAAATAATTTTGTCTCAAAATTACACAGCATTTTTCTGACATTCTCATGTTAAATCCCATCTGCAGTCAAGAACCTACAGAAAAAAAAAAAATCACAGTCAAAAAAGGATATTCAACCATAGCTTGTATTCCATTTCTCTTGAATATAACAATGCGCTGAACTTTTCCAACAGGGTTGCACACAGTGTACAAGACATCCTAAGGAAGAAGAAAAAAATATTTTAGTCAGATGTGAAATTTCAAACACTTTAGGTCCACAGAACATTTTTTTGCATTGGCATTTAAATGCCAAAGAGCAAAGAAAAGGCTTTTTAACTTTTCATTTATAATTTTCCCTATAAAATTTATACATTCATGGTTAGCATTTTTATGGATTAATATAGTACAGGCAGTCAAATCTGAAAAACAGGAAAAAACTTATTAGAAGTACTCATGCAAACATTAGTTTTTGCAAACAAGTATCTTCAACTGTGTTAAAACCCAGTAATTGCATCCATGTCTCAAGCTGTGCTCCCTTTTAAGCATGCACTGCAGTAGTTTTACCAAACCAAAGAAAGACAAAGTGACACTGCTGTTATAGCACATTTCATTTCATAAGAATCTAGCAGCTGAGGGTTTTTTTAATTGTTCATGTTCATTTTCAGAAGAGTAACTGGGGGTAGTCCATTATGTAAGCTTAGGTAGCTTATCAAAAGCAGAATTTCAATCGTATTCACCTGAATGGTGGTTGCTGTGCTTCTCCACTTAAGGCAGAGAAAACTTCTGACAGGAAACACTGGATTCATGCAAACTCATTGTTAACACTCTGCTTTCACCAGCATTTGTCTGTATTACAAGGAACCAATAAAATTCAAGACCATCTTCAGTGCTGCAGGGCAACCAAATACTAAGGAGAAAAGCTTGCCTTACTGCACATCAGGCCAGGCTTATGATGTGGTGCTAGGAGTATCTCAAACAACAGTCAATTACACATAACAATTCAGACATGGTACCAGAAACTAGTCCCCAGCATGAATCTGACCAAGAAAAATATGTTTATTTTAGACTGATTATACACCTATACTCAGAATTCCCAAAACTCAGGCTTGAGAACCTGAACAAACAGGAACTGTGATTTCTTGAAACAATTCACCTGTTTGATCATGTGCTTTCAGCTGTTTGAACATAAGCTTTACTAGACAGCCAGTTTCATAACTAAACCTAGCAGGCAAAGGCACTGACATCTTGGTGAAACACTCCCACAACCTATTTTTCCCTTCCTTTCTTTATATCTAAACCAAATACTTCCAAAATGCTCATTTCAAGATCTTAGTTTACATCCTCAGGTTTATTTTGGGGACAAGAGGGAGAAGGAGGAAAGGAAGTAGATATATTATTTATTATTATATTCTGCAGAATAGCGGAGCAATTGGGAGGCAAAGGGGTAGGGAGCATGCTGGATTTCCTAAAAACAAAACAAACACACCCCCACATACTCCCCCCCCAAGAAACTAGAAAAAGAGGATGTCTTATTGCTGGCTACAGCTGCAGTGGTGTTAACTCCTGGCTTATACAAAGTACCATAAGCTTTAATATATGGGCATATTACCACAAAAAAAAAAAAAAAAAAAAAAACCACCCCCCAGCCACAACAAACCAAAAACATTGTCCATGCTCAGGGGCTTTGCTCCAGACACTCCAGTGAGTGTTTTGCATAGCTAACTGAAGCAAGCAGAGGAGATTGTCAACTTTAAGATTTTCAGAAGATGGACAGACATTTTTAGAAAGGATTCAAGCAGCCTGAACCCCTAAAAACTAAGATTTATGAGATCATTTATAGGTATATTTTCTATGCACATTCAATAGCACAAACAGCTGCCCTCCATCTCTTCTTGTTTGGGAGAAAAGAGTCCCGAAAACTTTCCAGCTCCAGATGACATTAGTTTTCAGGCATATGACTTTCTTTCACAATTTCTCTCTCAAAAGATTTCTTCACAGCCACTTAATTAAAAAAAAAAAGTTGTCTTTCAAAATGTAAGCTCACTCAAAATGCCATCAGTGTCGTTAGCCAGCAGGCACACACACAGCTTGATTTTTTTTTTTAATTCAGCTACTTTAGATTACCAAATCAAGTTATTCACAAGATACAGTAACGTGTTAATTTTTTATTTAAAATATCCCACTAGCATTATATACATACTAGAATATAATAAAAAAGGAGGTGCAGCAACCTAATCTCAGAAGAAATTGATAATTAAGTTTAAAACATTTCAATTGCCAAGGCATACCACACCTTCCTCGTGCATGTATAGAAGGTTTAGAAGGTAGAGAACTAAGAGGCAACAGCAGAGGTATAGCTGAACAGACAGTAACAACTGCAGCAGCATGGTTCACTTTGAGAATGTCTGTTTGAACAGACATATTTGTCTGTTCTTACAGACAAATCCCTGACAACATTCTGCCCACAGATAAGGAAACTGGGAAACAGAACTTCAAAGACCTATATATGACACCTTAGGCAAAACTTTTTCTAAACACCAACCCCCCATCACAAAGGGGTGGAAAGCAATTAAGAATTAAATACAGTTAACTTGCCCTTCTTGCCATTCACTGCCACATCCCTCTAAAAAAATTCTGCTAGGAAAGAAGCAGGTCACAATTGTAATGGAGGAAATAAGATGCAGCAAAATTTTAGAACAATTTAGCTTCTTCCACAAGATGCCCCTGAGCAGACCAATTTCTCTGCAAAAACTGTATCTTTTTTTGAAAGAAAAGCTCTTAAGAACTATGGAACAGTTTATTGCAGTTATTCAGACTTGCCACTTAAAACTGGTTGCAATTCTTCACGTATTTCATCTAACTGTAGTTCAAATTTAAGGAGAGAAGAGTGTTGAAGAGGAAGAGGTGGTGTTGGGCTTTGTGGTTTTTTGGGGTTTGTTTTTTGTTGTTGTTGTTTTCTAATACTGCAGACTTTGCCTGAGGCATTCTTAAGTTAACTGTTTCTTTAACCTGTTGGCCAAGTGCAAAATTTTTGTATTTTCTTGTCACATTCCTAGCTGTTATGGGTACAATTGGTCTTCCCAGTTCTATGACTCTACTAGTCTACACTATCTTCAATGAGCTCTGATGCTTGCAAGTAATTTTGGAAATCTGTCTGCTTCTAGTGCTCATTGGTATACTCTAGACAAACAGTAGGGGGCAGCGGGAAGGAAGAGGTTGCGGGGGGGCGGGGGAGGCTGTCATTTGTTTTCAAAAAGGAGCTACTGTGCTAAAGGCTTCATCCTCAGAATTCCCATGAAACTCTCCTAGCCCAGGACAATGCTTCTCTGCTACCCATTTCCTCAAGAATCCACGTTCAACTCAGCTGCTTATGCAAGCCAAATTTAAAATGCATGAATGAAACATAGTTTCCAAAATTTGTATTATAGTCACATGCAAAGAATACTTTAACTTAGTGGATTCGTTCACACAGCTCAAAGCAGATATATTTTTAAACACTGATGAAAAAGCAACTCATACCTTGCCATGCTTTTCTATAAAGAAAACTGACAGGAGAAAGAAAATTCATCATCCACTAATGAATCAACAGGCAAAAACCTATCGATAATCACAATACAGTGAAGCAAAAAGTATGATATGGAACTGACTGCTTGAAGTAATTTCAGGAATACTAAGTTTCAATCAATTTGCTAACATATTATACAGCACATTAAACAAAACTTAATACTTGCATTAAGTTACATGGCTCCACACAACCCAAACACTTTGATTGATCCATGCTATCTATATCTATGTATTTCCCTAAGAGCAAGTAACTACACTTGTATCACAGTATTACAAGTTTGCTTACTTTTTAAATTTTTCCTGAAATATTTCTGTGCAATTCAACGCGTACTATAAAATCTCTATGAAAAATATAAGCATTCAATGCATGACAAAACATGCATTCTTAAATGCTAGCAAAAAATATCTGTATCATTAAAAAAACATGCACATGTGCCATAAATAGATGGCAATAAATTAGGATGCAACTGTGTATATGGTATGACTTGAAATACTGAAAAGTCAAATGTATCAGCCCAAATAAAAGTGAGGAAGATTCCATGTTGTTCATCAACAGATGAAGGTTTCAACTTTCCACCACGGAAATACCTAAGAATGAAGGACTGCAATAAAATAACCCCTCCTGCTGGAAAATTTACTTGCTATTTAAACATACACCACTCAGAGCCTAAAAGCTAAATGACATTCCTGACATTGTGGCAACACATTTGAAAATATTTCAGAAGCACGTAGCTACTTAAACATTTCAAAATCCTGACCACTGAAGTCTTCAAATGTATTGCAAAATATCTGTACAATGAGACTGAATCATCTCGAAAACCCTTTTTTCCAGAACATGCATGTTACATATGTGAAGATGGTATAAAGCTTTGGTAGGTGAATTTAATTCCTGGCTCAAATTAACAGTGTACAATTTTAACTATTTGTACACAATGGAAATATTGTAACAGAGATTGCTGCTCCCTGCCTTTTATTATTTTATAAAAAAAAAAAAAGAAAAAAAAAGAAGAAACATACCACTGTAATTGGGTAGAGAGGATTCTGAATTGACAACAGGAGAACTTTATTTCCACCAGATGGGTCATCAGTATTCCCTGGCCGGGTAATCCTCTTACTTGTTGAGTAGTTGAAAAAGGCTTGCTGTCCAGCAATATATACAGGTTCATCTGCTGCAAACGTTACGCATTTCTTCGCACTTTCTACATTTTCAAACTCCACCAGAGCCTGGCGCTTAAATGGCATCATCATGACATAGCTGGTGAGAGAAACATTACAGTAAGTTCTCCTATATGCTTACTCAAAACAACTCCAAAGTCCCGTAACTGTCATATACGATACGGTTTTTCTAAACAATTCCTAACAAGGACATAAAAGGAAGGTATGTCTCCCTACTCGCGCTTCCCAAACCTGGTCAACGCATTTCTAAAGCATTTGCACAAAACAAGAAATTCAGCTACAAGATAAATAAGTAATAAGCAGTTTTCCTGAAAAAGTTTAATGCATAAAAATGTTCAACCAATACAACAGTTGATCATTTACTAACTTACTAAAACTACAATTAATATTTAAAAAAACTTGCTAAAGCCATTTATGAGGTAAAGGATCAAAGTAAATGCAAATTATGAAACACATTCAAAGTTGATACATTAAACATCTTTGCTGTTGCTAAGAAATATGAAATACTATTTTTGACACAAAACTACCTTAGAGGAAATAAACAGAAGTATTCTAGTTAACCAAATTCAGACATGGACAAACAAGAAGCTTTGTCAGCTGATTAAGTTTCTGAAAAGCAAAACTCTCAGGCTAAAATGTATCTATTTGTATTCCTTAACAAGCTTGTGCTCACTTCATTTTATTTATTTTAAGATACTGGTACAAGTATAATGCAATTATTTGAATATTAAGGCAGTGAAAAACACTATTGTACTATTTACAAAACCCTATTTGACTTCAATACATGCATTTACTTGAAAAGAAATGCATGTTTCCAAAAAGAAGCACTCAAAACTCAGAGTAAACTGGCTCTACCCATTCACCTTTACTATCTTGTTCACAGATGAGGAATCTTCAGGCTCTATGACCTTTGTAGGGGCTTTCTCTGAATAACCATCTCATTCTGAAGCTCCTACCATACCACAAGCACTCCTCCCATACAAAACCATAGGAAAAAGCATCATCTGCTCTGTGGCCCATCCTTATTTTTTGTATATTCACTCATATCAAGACAACCACCCTCACGCTGTTCTGCAATTCAGTTTAGCTACAGCTCATATTAAGGCCAGGACTAGCTGTGCTACTGAAGTCTGACAGCAGACACTAGGGCATGCAGACAGTGCAACTCTGCTTGACCAGACTCGCCAGGTACAGAAACACAGAATCTTTGCACAGCTAGAAAATCTTTATACTTTACTATTAACTAAGTTCTGGGTTTCAAATGGCTATCATAATGTATTTAAAGAGGTCCAAGAGACTCTTAAATAAGGCTCCCAACTTGTCCAGAGACATGACTTTATACTGCTTGACATACCATATGGTTCCAAACTTTTCAAGAGCTTCCACAAGATCTGCTTCCACAACTGATTCGCACAGCCCTCGGACATGGACGACAGGAGAAACAGAGACTTTGTGATGACTTCCCCCGGCATCCTAGTAACGAAATGACATTTTAAAATTCAACACAAAACAAGGAATACTGTTATCATTAACTAAAATTAAATATTTGGCAGACACTACACGGGGTCCAGAAGCAGCCATCTAAATGTACAATCCAAGCATATTTTAAATAATTTAACTTTTCTTTTGAAACAGATTGCCAAGTTCAGTTGCCGAAACCTACTTAAAATAAAATGCTTTGCAGATTTAATTAAATGTCTTTGCACAGGCAAAATTTTTCTAATATTAAAAAAAGCCTATTTAACACTTTGTTGAATTGCAGGACATCTTCCACCCTATTAGTTAAAAGCATTAAAAAAATAAATACTTGGACATGCACAATAGCTAAAATATTTCTGATGCTCTTCCTGTTTGTTTATACCAATATTTCTTTGAGACAGGGTAGGGGGATGAAAAAGCAAGAAAAAACAAGGGCCACCAAACTGAATGAAAATTGATTATTTTTCTAATGTACACAGAGCTGTGCCCCACAATGCAAGAAAATGCCAGCTCCATACTACACTTGAAATAAAGTCAACCTCCCTTCTGATTCTGAACACTCTTCATACATGTTTTTAGAAATTCACAATTTGTGTACATATGGGCATGCTCTCTCTTTTCACCCCAAGGTTGACTACCATTAACAGATTGAGCCGTCATACATTAGGACACAGAATTCCCACTATGAACATTTTTCAGAGCTACTGCTATGACTTCAGACAGTCTCAGTTCTGTGTGACTGAAGAATTTGGGTTGGAATCAGCTCATCTTTCCATGCAAAGCCTGAAGCAGGGCTGAAATTTACCTCATATATTCTAAGACATGGGGGTAAAAAAAAAAAGAATGAAACGATGTAAGCCAATAATGAGATAATCAAAGAAAGATTAGAGATAATAAAGGGCACCCTAAAATATACTGTAGTTACCAGCACCCAAATTTCATAGGTGTAACAGCAGTGTAAAGTTGATGTATTCAAATTTAGCAACTATATCAATGTGTATGATCTAACAGATCAATTCTTGTTGATTTTTCACTTTTTCGTAAGAAGTACTATAGCATCTTCTTGAACTAGAGAGATTCTCATTTGCAGCACAAAGGAGCATTCAGCTCTAGTAATTAAGTAACCACAATGATTGCTACTTCTGCTACAGACATTCCTCTCTTCCCTATCTGTTTGAACTACAGATTCAAGGAAAAACCACATTCCAGATAAACACACAAGACTCAATTTGTAGATAATTCCTGTGTTCCATACACAGCTCTTCCAAAACAATTATGTATTTTTTCTTTAAATCGAGGATTTGACCATTCCGTTTGAACCAAAAGTCAGCACTTCAGACTTCATCAGACATCAGAACAATCTGCTGTCTAATTTTTTAAGCTTAGCTTACATTTTATTCATTTCCAGTATGAAAACATTTTAAGTGGCAACACATTGAATAAGAGCTGTGACACTTGTGGGAAAACATCACTAGAGATATTTGCATAAGATACCATACATCCTGAATTAATCAGCTGAGGTCTACAGCAGTAGCAGTGATAAAAGTAGTCACAAAAAGTTAATACTTTGAACTGCAAATACTTAGGCAATTGCAGAAGGAACAGAAATACACAGAGGTTTTTATTGTCAGCTTATATGTTCTTTACCCACATACACACTTTTCAAAGCTGAAAGAAGCACCTAAGGAAACCTTCAAAAGAAAACTAACAATAATTACCAGTTTCTCCTGCAAAGTCTAGTACTTTAAGCTGTTAAGATAGCAGACACCTTTACTTTATTTACAGTCTGCAGAACAATCAGAAGTTATTAAATCAATTATTCATTGCCCTGCATACTTGTTACCATATTAAGATCCCAGTTAATGCTAGGGGTATGCATTTTCTTTTGTTTTCTTTTCTTTAATGCATTCAAGAAATCTCACCTAAAAATATTTCTGTCTAATCAGATGGCAAATATAAGCAATGATTTTCTCACTGAAGCAAAAGACTGACTACAAAGAGCTACCTTACTTAATTAGCACCCCCATACATCAAGTCAAGCTTTTCAGAGAGTGGATCATAACAGAACGGTATTTCTCTCTCCCTCCCCTTTCCAGTTCAATTTTCTGTTATAGTTTCAGTTCATGTTTCTTTGTCATGTATATCCCTTTGAATTTTTATTTATTAGCAGCCCATTTAAGCTTGCCTACTGAAGATACAAATCTTTCTAATAGTACAAACTCTCTAAAAAATTAAAACTTTTATACTTGCATCTTGAAATCCATTATACATGAGTTATACACACATATACAGGTGTCCGCACTTCTGCAACTGGAATTATTCTCAGAACCATCAACAAATACAAATTTTGCTTTCTTTTGTAGTTAAAGCAACACTTGGCTTTCCAAGCCAAATTTCCTTCTCTCCATATAGAAAGCATCCTTTAGTAGTGTGTTGTACAGTAGGAGATTTAGCAAGAATCGAAAGTCATAACGCCGCTGTTAATTGTAGTAGCTTTCCCAGAAGCTCAAGAAGCATGGAATAAAGAAAAAATTAAAAAAAAAAAACCAACCACAAAACAGTGAAATCTCAGTCACTTGCCATGACATTAAGGACTTATCTGCATAGCATTTCAGAAACTAATTTATACAGATAAAACCACTGAGGTTATAAATGGCCAAATTGGAGGGCCTCTGCTTTACTCAAAATAGTTTCTAACCAGCAGCAAACAGCAGCACAAGAACCGAGCATAAGTCAGTCCTGAGCCAGGAAGCCGCAAACTAACATTCACAGAGCATATTGGTGAAAGACATGAACATGTGCCACAGGCATATGTTTGAGTGCAAAAAATTCTTCATGAAGGGCAGACATACGTATTATCATCAAACAAGTTTTGCAGCTACCAAGCTGCAGTATCAAGCAAATCTAGAATGATCCTTGATTTCCGCTAAAAGAAGGAGAAATAAAACCACTAGACCACATGAAAAATCAAACGTGTCTGTAAGTGTAAAGCATCTCCACAGCTAAGGTCAGAACGTATACAACTCATCCAACTGCTGCCATTAATTTCTTCCCAGAGATGAAAAATACAGGATTTTGATGAAGATCTCACAGTCACTGTATCTTGAAAACTACACGTGCTACAGTTGGCACACAGACAAAGGTTACATCAAAGCATCTGCTCACATACAGATTAACCACCACCAGTTTTCTCTGCTTACAAAGGAGTCTTTCAGTAACTCCAACTCCCACGATGGCACAAAAGCCCCATGCAAAACTACAACACGACACTTGCACTCCACTAAAGCCAGGAGAACAGATTAGCTAACGTTTCTGCTGTACCCATTAACATATATGGCTTAAGGGTTTTTGAAAGCTCAATAACAATTTCTCGAAGAATCATTAGCTGGACAGAAAATGCAATTATTAAATAGGTAACAGAAAGAGACTTCCTTTCTAAGTGCTCAAGACCAGTAACAAGGACAGAAAAGGTTTCCCTCAAGAAAAAGGCTAGGAACATAAAAATGCTTAACATTGAAACCGAGCTTCTGTAGAGAGCTGAGGCATGAAGGGAAGTGCTGACATAACCAAGCAGATGAAGCACAAACAAGTTACTTCACATACATAAGACTGCAACAGAAGCAGCTTCAAAGGACGGCTGTAGCATTTTAACATCCATTCTTTGGTGACCTACGTAGTTGTAGACAACATTTTAAATATATCACTGGTTTCTTGCTAACAAATTATGATTTGCCATTTGGAAAAAAGAAGAAAGTCATCGCGGGCTCTAGGATGATGTCTCTTTTGCTCACCAATTACAGATTACAGATTTTTTCACCAACTGTTTGTACATAAATGTGTCCTTTATCCTTCCTCCAGACACTTTCCAGTCAGTATATTCACCTTAGTTCTATTAGTTTGTACTACCTTTTTTGGACCATCTGGCTCCTTTACTGTTTCTCTGCTTACCTCCTCCATCTCTCTTTTTCTCCTCACTGCAAAAGGATGGCACTCCTCCTTCATATTCTCTCCCCCAGGTACCTAAATATACTGTTATTTTATTTCTCACCATTCAGATGATCTTATTCACTCTCAACTTTTTCCTCCCGCTGCATCCCTCTTAAATGCTCCAAAATTGCTTTCATAAATATGACAGAACTGGGGGTGGAAAGCCCCAAAAGATTGCTTATTAGGTATGTAAGTGCCCAAAACTTCATTAATACCTAACAATGGACTGATCTGCATCCCACTGCCTTGCAGGATGTCAAGGGTAACTAAAATTACCACAAGGTGAAGGTACTCACCACATTCCCCAATAATCTCAGCTCTGCCCACTGGGGATGGTCTGATGAGGAAAGGCTTTCATAAGCAGATATGCAGCATTTTGTGCACACTCTTCAACTGCTAGTTGTATTACATGATGATGGCATTACTGAAAGCTGTTTGCCCTGTCATACATCATCCCTGCTGATCACACCTGCCTGACTTGAGCAGTTCTGTCTCTTCCCTACAGAGGTACAGGAGACACCTCTCTCCGTGCCACCTGGAATTCCTGTAGCTTTGCAGTGACAACAGTATTTCCAGTAAACAGTGAAGTAAGACTGTGTCTCAGAAGAACCAAGCAAACAAGACAGAGTTAAGGTTCCATGGCAGTAGAAGAATATACCAGTTACGTATATCCTGGATTTTTTGTTGGTGGTGGTTGGTTGGTTTTGGGGGCTGGGGAAGGCTAGGCAGGAGAAGGGGGTTAAGGTTAATCACACCCCATATTCTGGAAGACTACCTGGCAATTTAGTTTTGTTTTGGATGTGGAGTTTGGGGTATCGTTTCTCTTGTTTAATGCATACCTCTTCCTAGCACTCTCTACCACTGCGTCCTTTCAATGGTTACAACTACTACAGCACGGAATACCTGCACTCTGCCCCCTTCTGCTAATTCTGAATCTGCCCTGAAGTGGCCAGGCAGTTGGACCAGATGATTGTTGTAGGTCTCTTCTAACTGAAACACTCT